GGCAGCGCATCCCCGTCCAGGATGGGCCTCCTGGCGGCCAGTGCTGCCCCATTGGACTGTGAAGAGGCCTACTGACCCCTTGGCGCAGCCAGAGCACAGACTCTCCTTTCTCTGCGGCCTTCCCCAGGGAGGCCCTGGCCAGGCTGTTTGCAGGCCTTGAGGCAGGAGGGGCTGGGGTATCCCCTGCTCACACAGAACAGTGTCTCCCACGTGCTATAGCTTAGTGAGGGTTTTGTACATGAATGAATGAATGAATGAAGGCAGACCTCTTAGACTCCCTCTGCTAGTGGCAGTTTCTCAAGGGGAAGCATACAAACATCACCTGCTGGATTCTAGGCAGACAGGAGGGAAGAGGCTTCCTTCCCTCGCCAAGCATCATTACACAGGAGTCTGACTTCTGACTGTCAAGAGGGATTCTAAGTATTTATTCAACAAGCACTTACTGAGTGAGTCTTACGAGTTAGAACAGTGCTAAGCTTGAGAGACACTGTATGGCCAGACGGTTTCAGACCCGGGCAAGTTCACTATGAATTCAATGTGACCAGAGAAATGACGGTAGAACGTTCTTGGGGTGAAAGGGTTATACCCAACTTCATTCCCACAGTGGCAGGTCAATCACTAGAATCCCGTCCACTCCGAGTAGGTCTGCAGGCAGAAAGACAGTCTCTCCCTCTAGGCCTCTCCGCTCCTGCAGCCGTCTCAGCCTCTGTCCTTGGCGCTGCCACCACACCAGCCTCTAATCTCTGTCCTGCAGCCCTGCAGCCATGCAACCGTGCCCCCAGAGCACTGGGTGGAGCTCTTTATATAGAATCAGTAACAACGTATTGCCCACACGTGTGCAGTGAGCTAGCCGACCAGGGCCAGGTGAGAATCCTGGCCGCAGGAACCTTCACTTTATCCACGGATGTCATAGTGAACAAAAACACCTGCCAGCGCTGCCCCAGAGCACAGACCATCTTGTCCCAGCTTCTGCTGCTCCTTTCCAGGCCCTCTTAGAGCCCGTTCACACTGGGCTCCCCACTGCCCCCGCACCTCCCATCTTCCTGACCATGACGCTCCCTTCCCTCTACATTTCAATGAAGAAAGAGTTCTTTCCTGAAGTAATGTCCTCAATACGTCTCCTCTGCTTTGCTTCCTGACACGCTGATGGGTGGTCAGCTATGAGCAGCTACCTGGAGACTGGCCAGGGATTCTCAAGGTGGGGTTCCCGGAGCAGCCTCAGCTTCAGCCAGGAGCCCTCAGGAAGTGCAGAGCCATGGCTGCCCACCAGGTGTCCGGCCCAGCACTCTGCGCTTCCCAAGCTCCCTGGTTCAGTCGTGAGCCAGGCTGGAAGAACCCCTGCCCTAATCAGACGCACATCCCCTAACACCCTCCCGAGGTCCTCTTGGTTGGGGAAAGTGGTTCTGGCCTAGAAGGGCAGTTCTGGGGCATGGACAGGCCTCGGGAGGCTGCAGGGACGTGGCATGGGCACTAAGCAACAAGAAGGAGCCGAGGAGCAGGGGAAGGAGAGGGCCTGCCAGCAGGCAGTGGGCGACCCCGGCTCACTCCCTTTGTGGGACTGGTCAGTCCGAAGCCGCAGGGCAGGCCCGCAGACCGGAAACTCAGGCAGGGAGCAGCAGTCTTGAGGCAGAATTCCTCCTTCTCCGGGAAACCTCAGCTTTTACTCTTACGGCACAGATAAGGCCCACCGAGACGCTCAGGGGTGATCTCCTGTACCTACAGTCAGCTGACCGCAGGTGGAAACCACATCGAAAATTCCTTTCAGCCAGGCCAGCGTGATACACAGGATTGCCCACCACAGACCTCACTTGTGTGGAGATTTGAGGACCAGCATCAGACAGGACAGTCCAGTCCAAGACTGCAATTCCCAGGGACCCAAATCCCAGCAAAGGCAGAAAACACACAGTTTCAGCATAAGATCTCAGCCCAGAGACCACACAGCTGGAGGGTCATGTCAGATCAATTTTGAAGTAACTGAAGTCAACAAATGGTTGCTGAGCAGCTACTAAAGATAATGAAATTCAGCACTGGGGAAATCTGATGTGTAAGACAGAATCCCTAACTTGAAGGTCACTGAGAGTTATTGGCATAATTATAAAGAAATCTGAGTTTGACAAATATTTAATATATCATGTTTATATGTAATACTTGGTCATTGAATGACATTGCTTCCCCAACCCAAACAAAAAATTAGTCGAAGAATTATGCTAGGAGGTATAATCTCTATTCCCAGCTTTCCTGAAAAACCCTGAAAATAGGACAGGCACTTCTCCCTCGGTAGGAAGCTGAACTGTCAGGAACTGCTACAGACACGCACGCCAGGCAAGGAGGTTGGGGCTGAACGCGCGGCCTAGAGTCCCTGCAGTTGGGTGGGGGCCTCCCTCCTCCCTCCCCAGTCTTATCACCAGGCTCAGGGTGCAAACAGCCAGGTCTGAAACATCCTGTTCCAACTTAAAGGGCTCGGCTGAGCAGAGAAAGTAGAAAGACGTGGTGGACTCCCTGTGCCTGAGGCAGGAACACGAAAGGGGCAAGGGCATGGGCCCGTAAGTTTGGGGCACAGTTACCCCGCCCTGCCCTCTGCTTAGGCCTCCATATGCAAAGCAAAGCCAGCGTGGCCCCCTGCAAGCTGCTTACAGTCACAGAATCGAATCGCAGACCCCTCCCCAGATCTACTGAGCCGGAATCTGTATTTCAGGACGTCTGTGTGGGATTCTCAGAACACACCTGGGGCTGCCCAGCAGGAAGGGTGGAGCTGGGCTGGCATGGGGCAGCACCCACTCCTTCCAACACCTGCTTTTTAAAAAATTTCTAAGCCAGTAAGCCTCTCAAAATCAGCTTAGAAGAGGTGGTTGAGCTACTGACAGTAGAACCTCAGCTCATTTGAGACTTTGACACCTTGGGGACCCCCAGGACTGTTGTCTTTCAGCTCCTTCCCAGCTCAATTCAATTCAAAGCATGGCAGTGATGAAGCTAAATCTAAGGTCACAGTGTTTAAAAGGTGAAAACTTCACCAACAGACCGCCTGCCCTGTCTTCCCTCCAAGACTCAGGTAAGAAACTGACCTTGCTCACACCAGCCCCGCCCAGCTCTGAGTCACCTTGACCCACAGTGGAATCCACCTCCACTTTCAGGGTATGAGCAAACAGAGACACAGAGAGGTTAAGAAACCTGCCCAAGCTCCCACAGCCAAGAAATGGCAGATGTTGCATTTGAATTTAGTCTGCACCAGCTTTTACAGTCAGGCAAGGGCCTTGAAGCAGGAAGCCTCCTAGACCACACCCCATACACATCCCTTTCAGGCCTCCCTGAGAAGACAGAACACTGGACTTTTCCATAAAAACATGTTTTCACCTACACAGGGGCTGCTGCATGACCTATATCATGAAGCATACATATTTGGGGTTATTTACAAAAGGAAAACATGATTTGAGGCCTGTCATATGTGACATCAATTAAACTGGATGCTATAAGATACTAATCTAGAAAAATTAATGATAACAAGCTGCATAAAATACAAACTCTTTCACTATTATTTCCCAAAACTGTGCCCACCTGCACTGCTGGGCATGGACATCGCTGCCTGTGGTCAGGGACTCAGCATGAGCACCGCTTCCTACACACCCCAGTGTTTACCGCATCTGTGAAAACCTCCCAGTGGACATGAGCAGCAGGTGACGTAGCCGCTGCGCCAGCAGCGCACGTTCACGAACGTGTGAACTGTCCGAGATTATTGGCAGCTTCTAATAATACTGCCCTCCAATGAGCTGAAGACCTTAAACAAGGATATTAGACACTTTACTCCATTTTAGGCAAAGGGGAAAGCCCCAGACCTTGGGGTTGCCGCCTGCCTCACACAAGACTTTGCCTCCCTACCGCCTGGGTTCTGAGGCTCTGCCCCCGGCGCCCCCTTCCCTTCTCTCCATTTCCCCCCACACACACCCCTTTCCCATCCCTTCTCCTGTCTCCCACTCTCCCTTGGTCCATCCTTGCTCAGTATTTTCCGTCGCTGCTGTGCTCTGGGATAAACTGCCATGCTCTCCCTCAATGTGAAAAACAGGTCTACCGAATGTGGACAAGGAAACACTGGTTTTTCACACATTTTTCCATTTTCTTTCCTTCCTCTAGGCCCTTTCTTATGTTTTTCTCCCCACCCAGACATATTTCTCTCCACTACCCAGCCGGACCTCATCTGCATCCCCACGGCACACAGAGCGGGCCTGGCGTGCCTTCTGGACCTGGGTATGTTTTCTCAGTGCGCCTATCTTTTCACGTGTCCACGGTAACCTGATCAGCACCTGTGCTGAGCAGGTGTACAATAAATATCTGCCGAATTTCATTCTTAGGGACACTGGTCATTGGGAAGAGGAAACAGTTTTCCTAACTGCAAATTAGAATGAGTCCCCTGGTGTCGGAGCAAGAACTTGTGACTTAAACATGAAGTGTTTGCTGAACTGAGGAGGATTTACACACCAAAAGCCCAGAGCTCTTCCTAAAGCCTTACGCAAAGAGCTTACATCCATCCGCCACCCAATCATCCACCACATTCACAGAGTCCGGCCTGCTTCAGAGAACTGGAGGCAATTCTCTGTATTCTGCCAGATGAGCCACAGCCGACTCTCCACACAGGCCTAGGATTCCAGGCCCGAGGGAGTATAAAGGGACCAGTTCCCTCGTGGCCTCTCTGCCTGTAGCCCGGGGGGGGAGGTGATGCCACAAAAGTAATGCTCTCTGTTGCTATTAGGTTTTTAACATAAATCATAGTGATTAAAATGCATGGCTATACTTCCTAATTTAATAACACCCTTGAGGAATAAATGTGAATGGTGACATAAATCCATGAGATTACACTGCGCTCTCTGCCTCCGGAAGGACACGTTAAACCTCTTCCAGACACCTGTGGGGAAGGCTATTTTGCCACTCCACAAAACAAAGTTTCGCCAGTTGGGGACTTTTCCCTACATAGCTTTGAGAATCTCTTTTAAAAATAGTAATAAATGTACCTTAGTTGACCTCCTTGTGAAAGAGCAGAGAGGCCACAGTTTTCGGCTGGCATCACACAGACCCATGGTCGCTGCGCACAGAGCGCAGAGTGAACAGCCTCAGTGCAGGCATCTCAGGGGGCGGCTTCAGAGACAAACGTCCGGTGTGACCCTTCATTCCACTGAAGCAGAATGAGTAAGAGTGTGAATTAGCGAGCCAGCTGTAGAAGTGGTCGGCAGAATCTTACTACAGAAAGAAAGTATCTTGTTCTGGAAAAATGAGTGGGCTGGGTGTATACATCTGCATGAGATACCACTTAGTATCTTATTTCATGACAGCGGTACTTAGGCACTAAAAGAAGGAATGTATTTTCATACCCACTTCACTGTGACTCAATCATATGACTGTATGTCAGTGATTAAATACACATTTGCCTTTAGGCCAATTCCCGGAGTTCGTTTTAGAACCCCCCGAGGCCAGCAGGGACCGTGAGGGGGTTAACTAGGCCAGCTGTCTAGGCTGGGGCTGAGCCAGTTCCAGACTCAAAAACCTGCCATTCCACAGGCAAATGCCAACCAACAAACACTTCTCAGAACACACTCCCACCCCTGCATACCATTTTCAGAAACAAAACATAATTTTATGTACATCTGAAATGATGGATGAGTGGGCCCGAGTCACTGCCTGAGGACCCTTGTTTCTCCTGTTTGCTACGGGCAAGGCCTGCCACCATTTATAGCTGTCCCTTTAGCCCCATTTGGCCCCAGACCAGCCTTGTTCGCTCAACCTTCCCTGGCAGCCTGGTGGGCCCGCAGCCGTGAGCATGGGAGATGTTCCGTTCAGCCACTCCCGAAGGTGCTTTACGTATGTTCACGCATTATAATGGTGCTTTACTCTGTCCATCCATTCCTACATTCATGCAGGATGACATTCCTTCATGGCAGATCATTTCTCTGGGGGGCCTACTGTCCCCCTTTTGCTCCCTGTGCGGCCCAAGACTTGCCTAGTGGGAGCCCACAGAAAATCCACTTGTGACTCCTTAAAGCCACAGGAGACCACAGAAGACGTCCTGTGCTGAAGTTGGATGTCATATTATCCCACATACAAAACATATCCTGGTGCATAGGACCCACACTTTTACATCCAGCTTTTTAAAGATGTGTTTCTTTACATTACAAGCATTGGGAAAGTATTCTGCACGGTGATTTTCTGGTGTGAACATTTCTTTCTGCAGCACCTTAATCACCAGATTTAAAAAGAGATGTTAATGACAATAAAAGAGTATATCAAGTCACATATAATCATCATCTTTACATAGCTGGTCAGACCTTCGGTCTAATTTTTAAATCAGGCAAAATATTAAATCTGGAATATACTAGAAACAAAAACGTGTCCCTTTTACCTTACACCAGTGGCAGGTACTCTCTGTGTGCAACTCACTCGTTTCCTGTGCCAACTGCGTAACTAAGTTTGCACCTGTTACAACGCGATGAGCCTCCTTCCTCTGCTGTTTAAAACGCCCAGCATAATAATTCCTCTTGCTTTGCAGACAAAAGGCTTCCTCTCAAAGGAGCGTCATTAGTAAATGCTTTTATCTTATGTGAAACTTAATTTCAATACATACAATCCTAAAATGGCCAGCCCCCAAAAGGGCTATTAGTTATATTGGGCATAATCTGTGGACATCTGTGACACAAAGACCTAACACAGCATTGGCATTTCAATCCTTGAGAAATGTCTGCCCTCCAGCACTGCTGATTCCCACAGGCCTGAGGTAGGGTAGAGCCAGACAGGCACCTGCAGTGGGCGGGGCTAGGGACTCAGCCTGAGGGGGAGAGGGCATCCCGGCGGAGGAGGGGCTGTGACCTGCTTGTTTTGTTTGGGGGGGAGTGTAATGCTGCCTTGAGCCAATCGTGAGGCTAGAGGCAGATCGGCCTCTTCTGGAGCAGCTGATTAAGTCCACACCCCACCCACCCTCTGGGATCACTATACATCGGTCCTAAAGGGCCCCGGGGCCAGGCACCGGACATCCAGGGACACACCCTGTGCTGGTGATGATTCGAAGTTTCCAATCCGCAGGGAGCTTTCAAAACCTAGCTGACCCCACCCCACCTCACACACGTGTATCTTTCTGTCACCGCGTCCCTGGGTACAGCCCTTTGCATGGCCCTGCCTGGCAGCTTCTCCCACTCCAAGCTGCCCTTCTTCTTCTGAGTGTGTGGAATATTTAAATCTTATAAAATGGTGGCCGAGCAGGATGTTTCTGGGCCCGAGGGGGATGAGGAGGCTCACACGTAGGAGCCGTAGGGCCCTGGCGCAGCGAGACGGCCTCCTGGTGGCAGAGCACGGGGTCACAGCGCCCCTCCACCGTGAGCTTCCTCATCTTTCCTTTGTCACAGCATCTTGTGGCAGGACACTCAGAGGCCTGGCAATATCTGGTTTCTCAGCATACCGTCACCAAATTGGTGAAGATGAACAGTGTTTTGAAAACTGCCATCAATAACCTTAGAGACTCGGTGCAGGATCCGGCCTGCCACCTGTTTCACTAAATAAAGAGGCTTTGGAACACGCCCAGGCCCACGCATTAGCGTATTGCCTGTCTCTGATTCCACGCTGGGACGGCACAGCTGAGCAGATGCGACAGACACCAGATGCCCACAAAAGCCAAACAATCACTGGGCCCTTTGCAGAAAGTTTGCCAAACCCTGTTTGAGAGAAAATGCCGCTTTTATGAAATGGATACAGAATGTTCTTATAAGGAAGTAGAAAAAGAATTCTTATAAAGTAAAAACCTGATAATCAAAATAAAGAAGAATACTGAATGGAAGCATTGAAAAACAAAACTGAAGCAATATTCTAGAAGACTGTAAGACAGAGGATGGAGAAGACAGAGACTTGAGGGGATCAATCCAGAAAGGATGACAGCTGATTAGTACGAATCACAGAAAAAGACAGGAGAAAATGTTGAGTTTTTTCTTTAATCCAGATCTTAAGTACCCAAATCCCTTGGTTAAAATAACCCACAGTGAATGAAAATTACTTACTTACTCCAGGTGCATTATCTTGAAATTTCAAAATAAGAAAAGCAGAGTAGATTCTAAGTTTCCAGAGAGAAGAAAAAAAGAGAACAGGTCTCATACAAAGAATAACAAAAATGGCCCTTATACCCAAACAATAATACTCGGATGAATATTCATGAGAAAAAGTCTATGTATTTTTCACCCTGCAATTTGTACCAAATGAAATTACACATCAGAGACATTTTCAGAAATTCATAGACCCAAAATGGATCCATGTCACCTTTCTTAGAAAGCTACGCAGTGATGAGTATCACTGAAAAAAAAAAAAGGATATAAATCACTAAAGAGGAAAACCAGATTCCATAAAACAGGACTCACACAGGCATCTTCCCACGAGGACAGCTGTCCAGCAGGGCTAGGAAGAGGGACTTTAAAGCAAATAGAGGCAGAACTCCGAAAATGAAATAGCCTGGCAGGAAAAAAATATAATTCATAATTTGGTATGGTTAAGCATTTAAGGCAAAAAAAAAAACACTGGAAAAAGTTTACCAACATATGAAAGATTGAACAGAATTCCAAGGAAAATTTTAAGTCCCTTGAAAACCATGCAAATAAAAAGGCAAGGTGATCACTCAGCCAAGAAAATTAGGAAGTTGTAAAAGAGCGGCCTAGTGGCCGATGTGACTCTGCAGGGAACAGTGCCGCAGTCAGAACAACACACCACGACAACTTATGTAAAATTTCAGCATTTGGTACAATGCTGCAAGAGAGGAGGTGGCTGGCGTAAAAAGATCTGTGCATGTCAACAGATGTCCAGAACTGACAATCCAGAAACCACCACAGAGGAATATTATTTGCAAATAGAGGCAAATATAAGAAACAGTTTGAAAAAGCTGATTATTCCAGACAATGACAGGGCAGGTGGCAGAGATGAGTCTTGCAGATGCCGTGTGGCCTGTGCACATTGCTCCCATGAGACGCGAACGCAGTGCCCCTGTGGGTGCCCCTCGTCTGCCTCACTTGCCCGCCCCCAGCACCACCTGATAGACTTTCCCTCACAAGCTAACAAAAACGAAAGGCTCCCAAGCCTCGAGGCAGAATTTATCCCCGCCTCCTCCAAGCTCCCACAGCGGGGGGTACATTCCTAATAACGGTTTCCATCGATCGAACGTTGAGTGCTGCTTATGAGCCTGGCATGCTGTGAAGAGCGAGAGACAGAGCTGCCAGCCAGACGGCACGGGCCAGCTCCCAGGACCGGCAGCGCGGCGGAAGCCGGACAGTAAGCACACATCCAGTTCAGCACGGACAAGAGCTCCAGGAGCAAGCCCGGCCACTGCTGTCTCCACTGGACACCCATCACAGGAGGACATGGCTTCTGGTTCCGTCCAAATTCCGTTCAATGTGTAAAGAGAACAGTGCTTTCTCTGGCTCCACCTCATTTCCAAGATTTGCAGGACATCTAGACCCTCCTTTTAACTCAGTGAGTTCAACTCACTACACGTTGTTTAGCGGCTGTTTTCCAATCCAGTCTTGCAGGTGACACATGGCTTCCACCTCCTGCTTCTCAAGCCGCTGCCTGCATCCCCCAGTCTCGCCTGGGTGGACCAGGTGCTCTACATCCCTGCTTCAGTGATTCAGTGCAGTAACACATCCTCAGCATCTGGCAGCCTGCCAATTCCTCCCTTCCCCAGGGCTCTGGCCAAGGCTTAGGGGGCTGGGAGGGCAAGGAAGGCGTCAGGCAGGGACCCTTCTTACCTTTTTACTCTCCCAGCACTTTGCGCAAGAACCTAGTATCTGTCCCAAATCTTTACTACTGTCTTCAAGCTCTTTATCCTACATGCACACACTCCTCAAAAGAGAAAACTCATCAGACACTTCCACACAGGACTGGAAAATACAGAGGAAGCAAGTCTGACCACGTGAGCCCCGGCAGGAGCACCTCCGCGTCTCCAAGGTCACTTTTGACAGTAGCCCTCAGCGGGAGAAAGAAACATGATCAAAAGAATCAATACAGGCTAAAGCAAATTTAGAACCAAATCCCTAAAAAAGATGTATGCTTAGACACATGTCACCTCTATTTGAAGCCCCAACATCTGTCAATTCTCTTCCAATGTTTCTGCCGAGGGAGTGCGCACCACTAATCCACCCCTGTCCCCATCAGGGTGGAGCTGGGCCTTACCGACACTTGCACCACACTCGGCTCTTTTAGGCAATGAGTTTCTTTTGTTGATTTCACGTACATCTTCCCTTGTGAGGTAGGCACTTGTCCATTTTGCTTTAAGTACTAATGTGGCTGCTGAATGCCATGATAAAGCACTTTCTCATTTTAATGTATACCATCAAGTTCATATTTAAATATATATTCTTGTTTGGGGTTCTAGCCAATAAAGAAAAAAAAACATCTATACAAGACACAGACCCCCCCACACACACACACAGGACATAATCACATGCTTAAGTAGAATTTGTTTCTTATACTGTAATGTCAGAAGAGATGTAAATTTTTTTTTTATTTTACATGAATTTTCATTAGGGTGTGCTATTTTCATGATTTTAAAATTAAACTTAATCCTCTACACATTAACTTTAAAATGACCCAGGAATCAGAATTTCTGATGTGAAATAAGAAAGCATCAGACTACTGTTTTATTTTTTAACTTCCAACACCAAGAACAAAACTGGTTATTTCAAAATAAACAAAGAGCAACAACAATTTGCCACCTACTGCTAATATTTAGTACTTTGTCCCAAACCAACGGTTTACTTTTGCTACACTCAGGTAAAGAACCAGGCTGACAACGAAGTATTCTTCGGTCTCTTCGATCCACACCAGCTCCATACACACTTTCCCTTCTGCGTCCATGTAGTTGACATTGTATGTCTGTCCCAGGAAATCAGGGCTGTCTGAGGACCTGGGAGACCTCACGCAAACCGGGGAACTGAAACACCAAAAGGGCTTCCCATATTCATCCAAGAGAGTTACGTCCAGGATGGAACAACTCTACGAAACAAACAGACATTTATAAGCGTAACGGCGGGTGGCCAATCATACCTGATTTTCATCATCAAGGATGAGTAAGAGTTAAGTGAAAGGCGGGAGAAGAAAAGAGAGAACAAATTTCCCAGAAGAGGGAACAGCACACACACAGCGTGAGAGTACCAGACACGGCGGCGGTACTAGGAATTCCTCCGCACCACTCAGGCAGAGAGCATGAGACAGAGTCAGGAGCGTGACATCGGGCCAGCTCGGTCCACCGCAGAATCGCTGCCACCTGCACGCAGGAACTGCTGCAAATAAATGTGTGTCAGATAAATAAACACAAGCAGTGAAGTGCGGTGGTTGCTGGAGAAGGACAGAGGTGGCTGCTTCACACGAGGGGAGATGGTGACAGCCCTGTCATCGCAGCAGCGACTCACATGAGGAAAGAGGGAAGAGGGACTCACAAGACAACCTGAGCATGACCTGGTATCTGGAGGTGAGAGTAAAGGAGGAGGAGGTCTAATCTGTCTCATCAGGGAAGAGGGGGATCTGGGGAAAAAACACAGACTCATTGCAGACACGCTGAATCTAAAACGCCAGGTGAACAGTCATCACTGTATGGGGACTGGAGTCAGGGGGAGGCTACAGGGCCAGAGATACTGATAATTATTAATCTTATGGATGAGCTATATTTCTACATTTACTTTTTAATTGTGGTAAAATGCAACATAAAATATACCATCTTCACGATTCTAAGTGTACAGTTCAGCTGCACTGAGTTCATTCACACTGACGGCAACCATCACCACCATCCATCTCCAGACCTCTTTTCATCTTGCAAAACTGAAACTCTGGGCCCATTAGATGGTAGTGCCCCACTCCTCGCTCCCCAGGCCCCAGGAACGGCCACTCCGTTTTCTGTCTCTGAGTGTGACCACTCTAGGGACCTCAGGTAAGTGGAATCATACGGCACTTGTCCTTTTGTGTCAGGCTTATTTCACGCAGGTTTATTCATGCTGCACATGTGTTAGAATTTCCTTCCTTCTCAAAGTGCAATAAAACCCCACTGTATAGAGACCACATTGTGCTTGTCCACTCATCTGCTGAGGGGCATCTGGATTTCTTCCCCCTTTTGACTCTTGTGAATGCTGCTGCTATGAACATGGGTGTACAACTTAAGCTATATTCTTTAACATGTTCTATGTACCAGACATGAATCCAAGAAGTTTACATATGCTATTTTAATCAAGAAACTGTGAGGTATATCAAGGCTAATATGTTCTAACACCTACCTTGTCAGATACAGCTTATTATTTGCCATGACTTGGGTCCTGTATTAGTGTTTTATTAATTAGAATTTAAATGCTTACTCGTAGGTAACAGCATAAACTGAGAGATAGGAATCAGCCCCATTCTAGACCCATGGAGCTATTACAGATCCCTAGAGAGATGGCGACAGTACGGATGTCAGCAGAGACACCGCCTCCAGAGGTCTCTGGCCAACAGCACTGACCATCTGGACCTGAGGATGATCAGGTCAAAGGGTCTTGACTCAAAAAATATCTATCTTAGAGAAATTTAAGGAACACAAACTTTCCAAAAGTTGGAAAGAAAAAACCCAGCAAGATGGCTTGATAAGTGAGTAACGGGAGACCTGAGTGAAGGACCAGCCAGCATAAAACAGCCCTAACCCCCGCCCGCCAGCGAGAGTACAAGAGAGAGCCGAGAGCCCCTCCCCTCCTAAGGGGGCAGGGGGGGGTGCCCCCCAGCAGGGCCACCCCAGGGGAAGAGGGGGATCCAAGGCTGCACCTCGCTCCTCCTGCCTTTTCCAGTCCCGGCACAGCACAGGCCAGCCTGAGGGGAGCCCACGCCACCACACGCATGCATCTGGCACAAGAGGGCCTCATGCTCACAGGCCAAGAAGGGCGCTCCTCGCTGCAGCCTCCCTGGACTCAACAGGGGGATCGGGGCCAGTACTGAGAGCAGGAGGGAGTCGCTGTCATCTTCCAGAATAAGAAGCTTCCGGCCACTGTGGCCACATCAGAGAGGAAGCCCTGTGGCCGTAGCAATTCCCAAGAAAATTCAGCAGGTGAACAGCCAGGCGAACCCGAGCCTTTCTTTACTCCACCCCCTTCACGACCCTAATTACTAGGGCAGCAGTGTCGGCTTTGTAGCTGAGAACCTCACCAGACCCTCCGCCCAGAGACAGCGACTAGAGCCACCAGCAAGGAGGGGAGCAGGGGGAAGGCGAGGCCCCTGGGGAGCCCTGCACTCAGAGGAAGGGGGGGAGGAGGAGGCCCTGAGGAGCTCCGCAGGAGTGTCCGGAGGGACGAGGGCTCCTCGGTGGGGGTGCCACTCCTGAGTCCTGCACCCCGCAGCCAGCGCCCGTCTCTGCCTGCAGCCCCTCAGCTGCCGGATGAGGGGCTGTGAGCTTTACCCGGAGCTCTCCCAGTGCCAAGAGCCTAGCGTTCTCCACCTTCCTCATGGGCCTGTGGAACAGCCGAGCACACAGGGGACACAGAAGACCCTTAACGACTTCCCAGGACCCCTAGCCCAGAACGCAGGTGTTCTCCCACGGGTGGTAGGGCACGGCAGGAACTGCCCCAGCTTGCCGTTCCAGCTCCTCTCCTGATGCCCCCCCACCTCTAGTGCCAGCATGGTCCACGGTCCACAGCGGAGCCGTGTCACGCCTAGACTGGAAGGTGCTCGAGCTGCAGGCACCGGGATCCAGGTGGGCAGAAAGCCTCTGCTGGGCTGGGCTCCTCCGGCCCAGCTGCGCCCCGGTCCTCACAGAGCTCCTTGCCTTTGGAGCCCGGCTCCTCACCCCCCATCCTGCGTGGGGCTCCTTTCCCATTTGGTTCCTTCTCCGTAACAAGCAGTCTGACCTCCCGGAAGCCTTCCTCCCACTCACTCCCCACCTTCTCCTCAGGGGAGCTGCTGCAGTTACCCGTTCCCAAATCAGCCTCTCAGCACAAACTTCTAGAGTGTCTCCGCCTTAGCAGTCAGGGAACTGTCCTGCCCTACAGCAGCCAACCAGTTTTCCTCACTGTCCCCCATTCACATTCACCAAGCAACTCCGCCAGAGTCCAAATCTGATGCTGCAGAGCGTGCAGTGTCCACACCCGGAAACGGCAGTCCTTCACGGGTGCGTGAGCTCATGGGCGGCCTCATCTTTAATCACCCATCTCGCCACAGTGCTTGTGAGCAAACTGGCCAAGGCATCGTTTTGGGGGGAGCAGGATGTGGAACCCGTGATACGCCCATCAGCAGTCTCTTCTAGTCTTGCTTAACACAGAACCACAGAGTTATACTAAAATATCCAGCTTGAATTAAAATCGATGCCAAGTTCCACATAGATTTAGAAGTTACATTAAAATAACACCAAAAATTGCCAAGACAAGAAAGAAAAGAGGAAAAGGAACAAGTATAAGCAAGGCCATCCCAAGAGGAACCCCATCAGTCAGCGCTTCTGGCAGGAACACAGCCTGAGCTTGGTCCCAGATGATGCCGGAGCCTGCGGGGCACTACGCACGGCCTGCTCGGGACGTCGTAAACTGCATGCACACGGTGACCCGGTGACTCAGCGACCGCCCTGTGTAGATGCACTGCAACCTCAGCCACTGCAGCACCTCTAACAGATACTGAATATCATAATTGGACTTCGGGGAAAGAAAAAAAAAACTGATCTACTGATAGCATTTGTTTTTTGTTTTTTTTTTTAATTTTTTAAGTTGAATAATCTACCATGTAAAACTATGGGTTGTTGAAATTAGACTCCATGCACTCAAACTAGATACTTTCGACTTGACCTGCCATGCCAGGAAGCATTGGCTGGAGGTCAGCACACTGCAAGCTCCCGTGAAAGAGGGGATTCTTCCGAGAACGGTAAGGCGGGAGGGCTTCAAAGACGGTGCCCGTGACTACACGGCCCTTCCAGTGATGATGCAAAGCAAGTGCAGCTCCCCTATCTCCCTGTCGTCGCCAGTGTCCTGTGGCCAGAACCAGACTCGGGCGACGCTCGCTCCTACTGACCTGTGCTCGCTGGGCGTGTTAAATGACAGTATCGGGAGGGTGTTCCTACAGTTTTTAGGAGAAGCAGGGATTTTTTTCTTCATTGGTTTTTAATAGCTATGTGTACCTAAGAAACTTTGCATCGTATGCACTTACTTACTGTAGGAAGTTTTTTAACTCCTTGAGATCGGTTTCTTAAAGCATAGTTTACGGTTCCAATCTACTTAAAGCAGATCAAGTAGCTGGAAGGAAATTCTTGATTTGCATGGCAAACACAAGGGATATGGGATCACTTACCTTCACTCTTTTCTTTAGAAACTCCAAAGACCCCTTAGTACCGATCCCAAACCCAAAATTATGAGCAGCAGATGCTCACTGGCCACACCCACCTTGGCCCAGGGGAGGGCACAGCTCTGAAGTCCCTCCCCACCTTCCCACAAAGCCCCCTAGAAAAAGGAATTTATAGAGAAAACTGACCACAGAGCATGTAACCCATGCCTGACTTCAAGGACTCAAAGTCCTTTTCCAGATCAAGCCCTTTTGCTGGAAACCTGCCTCCGTGATCACGCTGGCTCGGCGGCCCACCGAGTCACTGCTTGCGGCTCTTTCTGAAGCTCTGCCTGCAGCTCCCACGACAGTTGCTGCAAGAAGCCTGTCGCTGCTTTTGCTGCAGAGACACTGCCTAGGGTTGGGCCATCACGGAGCTCAGCCTGCCCCACAGAGGGCCCCATTGGAGACTGAGTTTCTAATGATCAGAGCTGGAATAAAAAGCTCTGGCTCTTCGTGTAATCACTACATTTTTCTTTCCCCCACAATAAGAACTAACTACCCTCATTCTGCTCTAAATAACAGAAAACACAGACCAAATTATTATTTTATAATTATGCTGACCTTTCAAGTCTGTCATTTATATTCTGCCTTTCTTAGTCCTTAAGGTCTATTGGGATTTTAATGTTTTATTATGGCACATATTTTTATAAGACCTAAATCCATAAAAACGTTCTTTGTTCTTAAAGATATGAAATAATATTCTTTTGTATATGATAGACATAATCTTTACCAAACTTTAAACATTTATTTACAAATAGGATTAGTAAAACATCTCACTAAACCAAACAGGAAGTACTGCAAGAGATAACGCTTAACAATAATTAAGGGCATTTAATGCCCGATTATAATAGCCCTCTTGGTCTCAGTCAGCATCGCTCACAGTTCTAACCAGGTGTCCGCGCACGGAAGGCAGCAGAGAGCCATGTTACTGCAGGGCACCGGCATTCACAGGAGACAGGTCCCGCCGGTTCCCCTGAATACAAACATCCTATGATCCCACAAAATAAAGATGAAGCCCACTGAGAACCACAGGCAGCCATGGACACAAGGATCGCAGAAGAAAAGGAGACTGTGTCAAAACGACTCTCACCCCTCCCCCTCCTCCTCTCCCCTTCCCTGCGATTTCCGACCATTGCATTAACTCTCCTATCCTGGGGCTAATTCTTGATAGAGGTACAGATTGATTTAACTGTTCAAATATCTGAAACCTTAACAGTAACTTGGTATATGAATCAGTAAAATGCTGAGTACATGCTAGCCGCTGTATCCGACCTATAGCTCTACTCTTTCTCTACAGAACAAGCAGGGGCTGGGAGGAGTTGAGGGGTGTAATTAGCACTGCTCAGAAACACCCCTGCACGCTACTACCTACCCCACCACACTCCATGAGAACAAAAGGCGCTCGATAGACATGTGACAAAGCAATCAGGTGCCTGCAAATGACTAAGAGGATGTATATCAATCTTCAGATGCCAGACCAAATCTAGGACTTTAGAAGTATCAAGACATACATCAACATTTTTTATTATACAGAAACCATGTTACTTTAAGAAAACAACAAATTACCTTTATATAGCCATCAAAAACATCAGTTCTCCAAAAAAGGCCAAGTTTTCCAATAAGGGGTATGTGTTCTGTGTTATTTTTAAAACTTATGACGACAAGCTTCACATATCCATTTTCAATGTACCCTGAGAAGAGTTAAGATTTTTTGCGTTACTATATACCAGTGCAGGACACATCAAGAGTCTTCAGTTTTGCTGCTCCATAAAGAATGCCTCCTGTAGCTATGTGCCAGACCCCAGGTGGAGGGCCACACCGGCACAGGGGATCCAGGTGCCTGGCCTGAGGCCGGGGCACCACACCTGTGCCTCAGAGACAGAGAAGTGAGCATGAACTCTGCAAACACAATCCCAACGGTGATGCGTGGAGAGAACCTGGACCCACTGTCACAGGTGGGGGGCTGCTGAGGAGACGGGCTCTTCTGATTTGATTGACGGAACAGCAATGAAAATGGCAAATCAGAACTGTGGAGCTTAAGAAAGATGACAGAAATGGCCCAGAAAGGACAGCAAATGTGAGGGAGCAAGAAGGGAAAGGCCCATAGAAAGGAGGGGTCTGTGAGCAGGAGACTAATATTAAACAAACATCTCTGCACATGCTTACAAATAAGTGAAAATCTTTGCACACATTTACCAAAAGCTTGAGACAGAGGCTGGGTGCCCCCCGGCCCAGGTGAATGCTAAGAGCAGCCTTGCCTAGTGAGAGGCCCTCACGGGGTGGGGGCCCAGAGCACACTGGTCTGCTTGCCGAGGTACCTGTGGTCAGGGAGCCTCCAGCACCCACTGAACCCGTCGCACACGACGACGCAACAGCACTCTTACTCTTGTGCAGGATTTCTTCAGAGAGAGATGCCCGAGCAAAGGTGAGATTAGTGCACAGGGCACAGCGGTCAGGAAGAAAGGAGAAGAGCAGATGCTGTTTGCCCCTAGGCTGATGATTTCACAGGACAAACCAAACCAGAGCTAAGGTGTCATGGGAGCCAAAGCCCTGTTCTAGAGATTCTATAGAGTGTTCTCACTTAAGTGCAGCCAAAAGATTAAATGCTTCGCCAGCAGCCTCTTAAGTGATACGACAACATGCTGTGAGAGGTGCCCTCAGAGGCAGAGGCTCCCAGCCCTGCAGGAGGGTGCTGCTTAGCCCTTCTGTTCCAAGGACAGAGGTAGCCCTCACCTTCTCCTAAGTAATTAGCAAGAACCGTGCTGCTTCTCCCCGCTCTCCCTAGGTGCAGGAGCCAGTGCCAGACGACACTGACCCTTCCTGGCCAACAGCTCTCCTGCCACTTCGCAGGGTCTGCCAGAAGCAGGGAGGAAATCTGTGAGAAGAGAAGCCCCAGAGGAGGTGCAGTAATGACATTCTCCACAGAGCAGATGCGGCTCTCTCTGCTCTATGTTACTGCACGGCCACGTGCACAATCAAGAGACCGCCGACCGGCTGGCATGTGTGCTGGCAGCCGGACGGGGCTGTACAGAAAACCAGGAGCTCATTTTCCATGTGTCTTGTCCTCAGGACACTGCAGAAAATGGACCCCAAAGTGTAACAGCCAAGAACATCTCAGTGGCAATTGTCTGAGCTAATGAACATGAAACCTCTGTAGGGAACAAGGACTGTTGTTATTTTATTACCAAATATTCTCCCACACTAGAACAACTATAACATTTGCAGTATCTTAAAAGGTCAGAGCACTTTCAACCAATTTTCTGTAGCCATTTACATCCGATATCCTTAAGATAAAAAGCTTAAGTCCTTCCTACATTTAAATAATCTGCACACAGAACGTATGTGTGAAAGTGTGTATATATAAAATAGCTAATATTTTTCGGTACTTACTGTACACCATTGTGTTAAGCACATTATGTATAGTAGCTTAAAAGATTACTTTAAAAGAATACCTTAAAATAATACTATTAATTAGGTAATATAATTTTCTGAACTCACAGGTAAGAAAACTATGCAGAGAGGGGCTAAGAGTACCTTGCCCAGGGTCACAGCATTGTTCAGTGGCAGAGACAGGATTCAAACGTTGGTCTGTCTAGAAACAATGTTATCATAATCTAAAACATATACAAAAAGGGGGAAACACATAATCACTTATTAGTTTAAATACTAGCTGAGAATCTATAATGTAGATTTAAATTCTCATAAAGTTTTACTTTCATATTATCGCCCATAGAAAAAATCTGTAACTTAGCAGACACTATATGCTGGGGATCATTTAGCAGCTCCCCAAAGTTTTTGGTGGTTTCTCCACTGATGAGCCCATGCTCCTTCTCACCCATTCCTAGCCTCCCTACAACTAGGTCATGGGTGACCTGAGTTCCTTTGCTCTGAGCTAACCACCCTTATTGAATTCCTGTGTTGCTTAAACCATTCAGAATCAATTCTGTTGCTGGAGACTTGAACCTTCGCATACCAATATACAAGAGCACCCCCAAAATGCAGAGAAATGCCTATTCATTCAGGGGAATACAACTCATCAACAGGAATGGTGATCAGTACTTGCAACAGCAGAGATGAAACTCAAAGACATTTCACTAAAAGAAAAAATGTAGACACAAAAGAGTGCACACTGTAGGGTCCCATACATATGAAGTTCTGAAAAGGAAAACTATGTTGAAAAAGATCAGACAGAAGGAGAGGGCCGGGGTTCTTGTACTGTCTTGTAATTTTTTTCTAAATTATGTCAAAAAATAAAAAGTTACAAAGAAAGCAGCACTCAATAAAGGTTAGCTGCTACCAGCTGTATCGAACTTCCTCCGAAGGCCCCCTCGCTTATCACAGCAGCCATTCTTCTCCCTCCCGACCTGTGTCCTCGGCCTTCCTCCTCTCCCCCTACTCCCTGAGGGAGTTTAACCCCTCGAAATTCCAGCACTCACCCCTGCGGCGGATGGCACGCCCTGCGACCGACACTAATCTCTTCCTTTTCTAAACCCCAACTGCACACACTTGAAAATTTCATCATATTGGATTATTTGTACATGTTAGATCTGTTTCCTCAAATAAGCTACAGTCTTCTGTGGACTGGTATTTTCACAAGACCTGATTATATTTTCCATGCCTTTGGACCAATTTTCTATCAGTCCAGTCCATTTGAGTATAATTTTCTAGACTGGTCCTTCCCAAGAAGTTAAAAGGTATATGTGGAGCACATGGTTATTTGTTTGGGGCTCTCTGACACCTATTCTGCTTCTGCTAAGCATATCCTAATATTCTCTTAAGAAATACAGGTCAGTCCCCGGGCTTCACATGGTAAAGCCAGGCTCAGACAGGGAGCAGCCCATTCACCTGGCTACATGACTGGGTCGGGGTGAATTCACAGCCTGACCAGAGCCAGAACATGCGGTGAGGTTCCTGGTGGGGAGCAGGGAGATGGGAAGGAGAACCTCCCACTTGGACGTGACATCTAAGGCTAGCCAGAGCTGCCCCAAAGGAGGAAGTCTGACTCGGAATACAGTGAAGCACGATCAATGAGAGACAAAGAGGGACAGAAGGGCTGCCTATACACAACTAGCCCCCCAACGGCAATGAGCCCATGTACCAAAGTGCAGGTGAAATAAAACCTACCCCTGAATTCTTCAACATGATTCCTTTCTGCTAAGCCAGTTTTAGGTTAGGTTTTCTGTAGCTTTCATCTAAAAAAAAAAAATTACTTGTACAGAAGGGTTCTTTTTCTTTTACAATAATGTTTGAATCAGAAAACATGACTATATTTGTAGGTGGAATGGAAGGTGCCGGGAGTCAGGCTTGGGGTGCTGACAGGAGAAGAGAGGGGGCCACACCAGGGCTCGAGCGGGCAGGGGCAGACATACGCAGGGACAGGGATTGGAAAGTGCCTCTGCAAAGAAGTGCGACATCATCTTCTCTGAAGCAGGAAAATAAACCAACAAGACTACAAAGAGCCTGTGCTACAGTGTGGACGTGAAGGCTGGCGCAGGGGAAGGTCAGGACGCACAACAGTGGCCCTGTTCTTAGCACGTCAGGTAGAGAGGCCAGAACAAGGAGCAGGAGAAGGAAGACGGCTGCGATCTCACTTAAACAGCCTTACGTGGAACGAGAATTAACAGGAGCTGACTGAAATATTTCTGAGTAGCAACGAGGGATAAGTTGAAATCTGATAGTGACACGGGACATGCTTTTGTGATTTTCCCCAAGGAACTGCTGACATTCAGAGTTCGAAAAGCAACATCAAGATGAGGGGTGCAATTATCACTAGACAGAAGCCACCAGGCAACAAGGGACTCTGTGGTGCTTGGGGCACGAGGCGACACAGTGCAACCCAGGCTGTGTACGCAGGAAAATGGAGCCAGTGAGGAACACAGGACCAAAAGGCTGAGAAGAGCCCCCAGCATTTTATATCCGATATAAATCCGATGAATCAGGCACAGGGACCACGGACGGTGACAGTTCTGTGAGCCGAGAGGTGGCTCTCAGCTCGCCATCTGGGACATCTCAAGTCCTGCCACCAACTAAAGTCACACCAGGGGAAAAAGGAGAAAACTCATTCCTTATGTTTCTGAATAGACTAATCTTCCTCAAACTTGTTTTAAGAGATTCTATTTCCACATGTGTCTTAATGTCTATGAAAAGGGTACAGTACCTTAAACAATATCTTTGAAAATGAACATATGAACAAAATAAAGAACTCAACATTTAAAGAACACTCTTTAAATGATGAAAAGAATTTAAATCACCAGAGAGAAAGAACAAATCAGAATCTGAGGACAGAGCTCAAATGGCCGTCAGTGTGGAAATGCGAGAGCGGCTGAGACACGCTCGGCCCCCAGGAGGCTCTGTCCTCATGCCTTGGGCCCCAGCAGGCCCGCATAGGGGCGCCACCTGCACAGCGGGAAGGCCCCTCGTGGCCTAAGGCTCTGTGGCTGGCCGCGCTCTTGAAATCCGCTCTTGAAACAAGGAGCCCCACAGCTGCATTTCGCACCACGTCCCTCAAATCCCATAGCCTGTCTTGCTTACAGGGAAAGTGACACCTGCTCCTGATGAACTGACGTGACACGTATGGAGATCTGAGCTCTACTCTGGGACAGTCATTTGTGATGCTGACTCTTCCTAACAGGTTACCAGATGGACAAAACAGGAAAAATGTACTAACCGCCACCGATGAAGATGCTATAAA